GGAGGAGAAAGAGGCGGTAGAGTGGAAGGAGAAGAAGGAGAAGGGGGAGAAGGAGGAGGAGAAGGCGGCAAGAGATTCCATCGTCGTAGTCATCGTTTGTCGTCACCTAACCGCCGCCTGGCCACCGCCGTCGACGAAGACGCGAGACGCCGACGGCCGAGATCGTCCAGCGGCGACGGCGGAGGTGGCGGAGGCGGCGGCGGCGGCGACGGCAGTCGGAAAGGAGCGCAATAGCGTCGCACCGGTGCAACGTTATAGCGTGGGGCCGCGGCCTGGCCCGTGGCCCGGTCCGACTCGCCTCGGCGCGGCGCGACCGCGACGCTCCCGAAGTGGGGAGAGAAGACCTTGAGCTGTGTCACGTGACCCCGAAGGTGCATAGGAGCCCGGGTAGGGCGGTCGCGGAGGGCCTTGAACTTACCGCCGACGTCGTCGAAGCCGGCGTCGTAACTATCGCGCGCGTGCGCGCGCGCGCGCACACGCTCGTGTTCTCAAGTCAAAAGAGACGACTCGGGGACAGTCGGGAATAGAGCGACACACTCTGCGTGTGCGTGCTATCGCGTACCCATCTCCTATCGCTTCTCTTCTCACTTCGGGCTGATGGCGGAGAACGATTCGTAAACGCTTAAGACTGCCTTAGTCGCAGGCAGCGGAGAAAAACGCAAGTCGCTGACGGGCTATTGTGCGCGACTTATGGTTCTCTCCGCCTCGCCTTACGTCTACGACCAAGGTCGGTTCTACATTGGTCGTAGACTGGTTCTAGTTCGACGCAACGACCGATCGAGTCTGCGATTCGCGACGCTTGCGACGCTACGGTACGGACCAATGTTAGAACCGGCCTTAGACGTATACAATACGCTTTCGCGACTTAAGTTTTTCTCCGCCTTGCGTTACGTCAACGACTAAAGCTTTCACTCTAATTGGTCAAACTTCAATCTAATCTCAATAGTCTGATACGGGCTTAAGGCCGGTTCTACATTGGTCGTAGACTGGTTCTAGTTCAACGCTGATCGATCGAATCTACGATTCGCGACGCTCGCGGCCCTAAGCCGTAGACGTAAGGCAAGGTATACAATAGACTTTCACGACTTAAGTTTCTCCCCGCCTTGCCCTACGTCCGCGACTTAAGACAGTCTTAAGCGCTTACGGATTGTTCTCCGCCGTCAGCCTTACGCTCGATTCACACTGGCTTAAGTAAGACGTGCGTGAGGGAGGGAGAGAGAACGAGGGGAGCGCGTACTCTCCTCTCGCGCTCGCTCGGCATGTACGCTCGTTTCCGAAAACGTAGACCAGCTCCGCTGCCGCCTGCCGCCGGTATGCGACCCGCACACTCGCGCCCGCGAGGGCCTACCTGCTACGCGCCTGCGAGCGGCGGGGCGGCGCGGGGCGACGCGGGTGCGCCGGGACGACACTCCGGCGGTATCGCGACCAGGAGGACCGTACGCCGGTCGCCGATATGCTCGACCGCTCGCCTCGGCTTCGCCCGTCCCGCTCGTAACTAACGTTGTTACGTTACTCCTCCAGGCACCGGCGCGGCGCGCCGGTGCGTTTCGTTTGAACCTCGCGATAACTAGCCCGGCGGGACCGCACGAGTCCGAGAGTACGGTTACCGCGCGTTACTCGCGTCGCACAGCCGCGCGCTCCTGCGCGTCGACGAGATACCTGACGGCGGTAGCTCGCATGTCACGGCGCGTAAAACGAGATTGAGTTATGGAACGTCCCTCGCAACTCGTTCCACCTTCTGCGACGGGAACGGGGGGAAATTGTACGGGAGTTGTCTCGGTTTCAAGTTCGAAAGAAAGTCAACCGTGCGTCGCCGTGAGGAAAAATTTCGAGGATAATTGCTCGGTCTTTTCAAATCGTCCCATCCGTCCGTCTTCGCGAGGAGTACAAATGATTTTTCTCGTTGCCTGCACCGAAAGAAATGATCTTGCAACTGCAGTAACAATTTTCTGAGTACGAAAAAAAACCTGAGATACATAAACGAATGCTGCGAAATCGCATATGTTTCGTATGTAATTGATTTAAATAGCAGAAACAGAATTTCTATCCGAGCTGTTAGCGAATGTTAGGAAGAAAGTCTTTCCGTTACGCCTGTAACGTTCGATTGTGATACGTCAACAGTTATATTCTTTACAAAGAATGTTCGAGCTATGGTACCGAAATTCATTTTTATCCAATCCCGAGTAAAACATTAATAAGGCTGTGAAAAGGTCCTGATCAATTTTCCTTAATATTAATCGGGTCCTAATATGTATAAACAACCAGGCCCCTGAAAAGTTTGTAACAGTTTATAAGAACCTTGCAAGGAAATATTATTGGGGCCTTATAAAAAAATATCAGGACCTCAATAAGAAAACATAATCACTAAGGCTTGTCTAAAGTCAGTTCTTATATTTAAGGATCGTCTTAAATATCTCCTGAAATATTTCTTAGCTAGTAAAATGATCTGTATAGCGAATCCGTGCGGATTATTTTTTGGCTCAATATTCTGTGAACATGTATTCAGGGCAGAGATAAATATAAATGCGAGAGGAAAACCGCTGACCAAAATCTTGTACACCAAGATTTGGTGTAAGATAAAGTAATGCCCACGTACCTTTGTACGTGGGCATTACTTTATCTTATTCTCTTATTTCATCTTATTTATCTTGTTTTATCTTATTTTATCTTTATAATGCCCAGCAAGACCCAATGCCCAAACCAATGTCCAAAAAATGTCTATTAATGCCTAGTAATGCTCTGGGAAAAAAAAAGACAGTTATAACCCATTTTGGGGCCCACCATTAGTAATCGAATTATTTGGATTGTTCGTAACTCTACTCTGGGAAAAATTTTGACCGTTTTTTGATGTAGTTAAGCAACTTAACATTTCGGTTATTACCACTTAAGTGAAAATTATCTTTGCGTTACTGAATATCGACAGAACTAATTGAGAGAATCGATTAGTATTACTCTAATATCTTGGATATAGATAGAACGGCTAATTGTGATTTTTAGTTACGCGAGATAAAATTCGTAAAAGATTAGAGTTACGAACAATCTAAATAATTCGATTACTAATTGTGGGCCCCAAAATGGGTTGTAACTGACTTTTTTTTCCCAGAGTGCCCAGTAATGTCACAAATCTGTACACCACAATGCCCACAGCGGTTTCCATCTCGGGAAAACCGCTGACCAAAATCTTGTACTCCAATGCCCACTAATGCCCAGTGGGCATTACTTTATCTTGTTATCATATTTTATCTTACTTTATCTTTATAATACTCCAGCAAGGCCTAATGCCCCAAAAATGCCTAGTAATGCCCAGTAATGCCGTAAATCTGTACACCACAATGCCCTCGGCGGTTTTCCCCCTCGTATAAATGCGTCAAGAATATTTTTTGTCTCGGTGACATAAATCCTTTCTGAGGGTGCACGATTGGGCTCGATATTTCATAACCAGAAGTTTGCCAGACTTCACTGCACATCTGGCAAATCCTCAAGGAATTCCATTCGTTCATTTTCTAACAGACGACTGGTTGAATCTACCAGATTTTTTTCCCCCGTGTACGAATTAAAAGTGCCGATGAATCAGGAGTTGCACGGTGAAATCTTATTAATTCAGACGTCTTCGACCGAAGAATTCAAATTGTTAAATAAACGTAGTAATCTCAAAGGTCTACGCTGATGTGAAATTGCTAATGTCTGATCCAAGCTCACGTTTTATTATAGACTCGCGCGCAACGGAGCACTTTATGTAACAGCGGGGTCGTGAAAACCGCGAGAACCGAATTGTTCCTTTCGAGGAACACGTCAACGGGCCGCGAGGTGTTAATCGTTAATACACGGTGCTCGCCCGACTTACACGCAGGCTCTCTATACACGCCGCAGTTGCGTAAATTATTTTAATTATCCGAGCGGTTTACGCTTCAGAGCGTGTGACCTAAATGAACGATTTTGCAATACGCCTCTGTTTGCAAAAGGGACCGATAGCGAGCCTAACGGATCTCGAGCGGTTGGTGCGTTCGCCGTTTCTAATCAAGCGGCGGAGCGGAAACGAATCGTCGAAGAGTTACGAGCCGCGGGTACGCGTGTCGATCTTTGTTTCCCCCAATGACGGATCGCTTCCTGTAAGTGCGTGCGTGCGCGCGAATCGAACGTGCGCACGTCCCGTCCCGCACGCATTCGCACCATGTGCGGGCGTGAGTGAACGCGTGTGTTTCCGCGCGAAGGTCGTTCGGCGGTTCCGCGGGACCGGAAGTGGGCCGGCCTTGCGGCACGACCATCGGCGTAACCTTGCAGACAAGAGAGAGAGAAAGAGACTCGACTGCGTGTCAGCGCTCGCGAAATCGCGCGTCTAATCGCGGGCGACTGGATCTTTCGACGCAAACGATCGGCGCGAGAAATTGAATGATTCGTCGCTTGGCTATTTCCGAGCCGATACAGTCAAGGGGGTTCTGCATTCTTGCGAAACCGCTGCGTTATTGCGTAAACGGCGAATTGGAAAGTTATATCCAGGAATTTTATAACCGGGGCCTCGAAATTAAATTTCTATTTGCGAATTTCGCAACGAAATTCGATTTGAATTGAAGAAAGGCCCGGCAAGTCAATCGAATATCGAGCGAGTCCGATGCCGGTTTTTATAAATGATGGATCGCGTGTTAAAATATAACACGGTTTGTTTCGCTAATTGCGTTGCGCAATACTCTTTCGCGTCAATCTAATGACTAGACAGTGCGTTAATAGCCGGTGCTTTCCATTTACCGTCACAAGTCGACGCAGGTATCGCCTTATCTTTGTTGTTCACTGCGTGTTGAAGAAAGGCAGACCGACACGCCTGCGTCGACTTGTGCCGCCGAATCGGAAGCACGCCAGGTGTACATTGACGTAGAACGAACAATGAATTTGTTTGGAGATTCCACTTTAATCACGCGAGTGATATCGCGAACGCAAAGTGCCGGTTGTGGCAACGAGAGACTTTGCGTAACCACGCGAGAACTGTATTCGTTTTTCTCTTTCAGCGCGACACGGAGCGAGCGTGAAATCGGCACCGATCGTGCGCAGCCACACGTAGCTCCCGATAACTCGCAGAGGCGACAAGTGGGAGCCTAGTGCCCGCCGTAAGGATGCTGTACGCTGTCGCGAAGATCGCGAGGCCGCGAGTCGTATCACGAGCCCGCGGCGGCGTGACCAGCTGAGAATGTCGGAGCAAAACGGGCCCAGCGAGGGCCCAGGGCCAGGGCCCGGTTCGGACTCGGGTTGGTGGCCAGCCACGCAGACCTGGAAATCGTCGGCGGCCGCCTCGTCGTCGACGGCCACGTCGACTCCCACTTCGACGGCGGCGGGTTCAGCGTCCGTCTCTGTCTCCTGCCCCGCGTCCAGCTCGTCCTCGACGAGCTCTTCCACCTCGGCCGGCTCGTCCGCGACCTGCTGTCCCTCGTCCTGCATCGGCGTGTCCTGCACGATGAGCCCAAACCGTTCCGCGGAAACGGGGAAGAACGTGTCCGTCACCACTATTAACGTACCGACCAATCAAGAGATGCACGATGGTACTAGCCTCGGCTCTTTAATAAGATTCCTTCCACTAAGCGATTATTTGAGACAGTCCCTTTCTAACGAGTGATGCCGTTCAAAATGTTAATAAAGGGCTTTCTAATTTGTTACGTTAGTTTCGTGACGCGTTACAATAAAGAAGTGACTTTGTTAATTTTGCTAAACGACACTGACTGGCAAATTCTAATCGAAGAAGTTTATTGCGAAAAATATTACCTCGGCCAAGTACATGCCTCAGTGGTCGAATTGGTGTAAACGCCCGCCTAGAGTGTAGGGAAGTCCAGGTTCAAACCCTGGCTGAGGTAATGTTTTTTTCGCAATCAATTTCTTTAATTAGAACTTGCCAGTTAGCAAGTATTCTACATTGGGTTAATCATGTACTGACGTCAAATAATTCTTCACGTTTGTTAATTTTATTAATCATTACAGCGGTAATAATGTACGCGGGTCTACATTCGTTCTTAAAAATTCTCTGCACACTATATTAATTCTTTTAAAAAATTTTGTGTATAAAGAAGCCCTTTTTCTCAAAGTGGTACCTTTGATTACGCATAATACAGCTGCGATTTTAGGTAAAGGAGTATGTAAATATCTCGGCGGACAGAATGGCGTGACGGTGTCGGTGGTATCGACCTCGGTACTGGGATGCGGAAACGCGAATGCCGTCCCGACGAGCGGGATCTGCACGAATACGGGGCCGCATAGTATCGGCATCGGAATCGGCGGCATCCTCGCCGCGAACGCGGCCGACATCGATGATCCCGAGGACAGCGACGGCGAGATCAGCAAGATTGACTTCAGAGGTGTCAATCTACGCTCGAAGAAGAAACGCGACGTGTCGGGCAATCAGAATGGCGAGAAGATCGGCGACGGAGATGCAAATGGCGACGGCGGGGGATGCTGCGATGACAATTCGCAACAGCAGCCAGAGAGGCCTATGTCATGGGAGGGTGAACTTTCGGACCAAGAAATGTCTTCCAATACAATTACTAATCAGGTTAGACTTGTTCAATCAAAATCGCCAGATTGAACTTGATGTCTGTTTAAGAAGGTTGCGAGGCTGACAAAGTAAACCTACCCCAAGTGGGGACACACCGATTTTTATGAGTGTTGAATATGTTGTTTTTCAGCTCAAAATAAGGGACACGTATTTTTTCATACATCCCCATGTGCACTTTTAGGTGGTGAAATACCCCTTTGAAGAAAAATTTATTTTCTCTTTTGGGGCGAATATTGACGAAAGAGCTAGAACAAATTTTCTTAAGGAAAGTTGAATGGTTTCAATAGTACTTTAAAACTATGAGTAAAAAATTTTTTATTTTTTTTTAAATACCCCACCACTCAACATTGTTTGTTACAATTTTAAACTTTATTATTTACGGTTGAATTCGTAATAAAATACGTTTAATTTAGTGCTAAAAAATTTTCAAAATTGTAAAAAAAAGTAAAAATGTTTTTGCTTATAATTTTAAAGTACTATTGAAACAATTCGACTCTCATTAAACAAATCTTTCCAGCTCTTACACTTTCGTCAATATTCGCCCCAAAAGAGAAAATCAATTTTTCTTCAAAGGGGTATTTCGCCACCTAAAAGTGCATACGGGCACGTATGAAAAAATACGTGTCCCTTGTTTCGAGCTGAAAAAACAACATATTCAACATTCATCAAAATCGGTGTGTCCACACTTGGGTAGGTTTACTTGTGAGATGTGGACACGGTACGGGATTGTTGCTAACCCTATTGGCATATTCTTTTAAACGAATTTTATTATCGATTGAAAAAATCCTAGCAATATTGCTTAAGTGAAAATTGAACCTTGATTGGCTGATCATATAATAAAGACACGATCAATATCGATCTGTTTTACCATTATGATCTGTGCGAAATAACAAAGACGAACTTTGAACACAGATAAGCACTTTTGAATTGTTGAAGCATGAAGCACTATTGAAATTGTTAAACATTCTATGTATGTATATTTTAAAACTTCAATCAACAATTAATTTTAGGACCATAATGAGGAAACGTCCATGGAGGGGGTTCAAGTGTGCAGCACGAGCCCTGGGCCCATGGAACAGAAGTTTCCTATCAAGTCGGAGCCGGATTTTCGATCTAGCTCAGGTTTCACAATAGGATCCTTTCACGATGGTGGGCTGCCTATGACGCACAATCAACAACTGCAGCAGCAGCAGCAGCAACAACAACAGCGCGGTATTGAAAACTTCGAGCAGACTCAACAGAGCGATCTGCCGCTTCTCGTAGGCAAGCTTCTCGGCGGATACAACAACTCGACGCCAAATCATAGTCCTGTGCTCAATCCGCGACATCATCTAACTAAACACAGTCATACTAGATCGCAGGTGAGCTAATACGACGTCCCCGCTAAATACTGACATCAATCCGTTGAATTGTCACGCCGACGTGTTTACTTGTGCATACGCCTTTTAACTCTTGAACTCTCGTAGGTGCAGTCACCGGACTCCGCCGTTCATTCTGCGTACAGTGTCTTCAGTTCACCGACACAGAGCCCGCACGCGGCACGGCATTCCGCCCTAGGAGCGGGTAGTCCGATACCCTCCTCGTCGTTGTCCCTCTCTCGACACAGCTTCAACAATTCGACTTCCTCGTTATCCCTGTCGCTGTCGCATTCGCTCTCGAGAAATAATTCCGACGCTTCCAGTAGCTGTTACAGCTACGGCTCGCTTAGCCCGCCCACGCATTCACCCGTCCAGCAGCCGAGACATCCGCATTCGCACTCGCAGCATCATCAGCATCAAGTGGCGCAGGGTAGTCCGCTGCACCTACCAGCCTCGTCCGCGGTCGCCGCACATCATTACTCGTCCTCTTCCGTGCCAGGCTCGGAACTGTCGCCGGACGGTCATCCCGTCGCGGAGGATCAGGAAGACTGTAGGATACCCTCGGCGCCGTCGGGTATCTCCACGAGGCAACAACTGATAAACAGCCCGTGCCCGATTTGCGGCGACAAGATAAGCGGCTTCCATTACGGCATCTTTTCGTGCGAATCGTGCAAGGGGTTCTTCAAGCGCACCGTCCAGAATCGCAAGAACTATGTGTGCCTTAGAGGCGCAGGCTGCCCGGTCACCGTGGCGACGAGGAAGAAGTGCCCGGCCTGCCGCTTCGACAAGTGCCTCAATATGGGTATGAAACTCGAGGCGATCAGGGAGGATCGTACCAGAGGCGGTAGAAGCACTTATCAATGTACCTACACTCTACCGGCAAATCTCGTTGGTAGTCCCGCCGGTGGTATGACCAGTGAAAAAATGACGACGGCGGGCAACTGCAGCCCGGCACCGGCCGGTAGCGAGCACCATTATTCCGCTAGGTATCATTCGAATCATTCTCACAAGATGCAAGTAGTACCTCAACTTTTGCAAGACATCATGGACGTGGAACATCTTTGGCATTATAACGACAATGATCGGACGAGCGGCGGTGGAGGGATACTCGGTGGGGCGAGGAGTAACGTTGGCGACAGTATGCTGCTCGGTGGATCCGGAAGTGGTCTGATGCCCGGCGGTACTGGAGCCGCGACCGGAAACAACGGAGGTGCGGTGGAATGTACGTCGAGTGACTCTACCAACGTCGACACTAACAGTAGGAGAGCAGAGACGGCGAGCCCTGCCGGCTCGGCCTCAACGGGGGCGTCTGATCAACATTCCACAAACGGCAATACCACCAACAATAGTAATTCTCAAATTGCCAGTAATTTCAATGGCAATTCAGCCCAGCATCCGGACTTTCTATCTAATCTGTGCAACATCGCGGATCATCGGCTTTATAAGATCGTCAAGTGGTGCAAGAGTCTGCCATTATTTAAAAATATCTCGATCGACGACCAAATCTGTTTGTTGATCAACTCTTGGTGCGAGCTACTGCTTTTCTCCTGCTGCTTTCGCAGCATGAACACTCCCGGTGAAATAAAAGTGTCTCTTGGCAAGTCGATTACTCTAGAGCAAGCCAGACAGCTTGGTTTAGCGACCTGCATCGAGAGGATGCTCGCTTTTACCAACAATCTGCGAAGACTGAAAGTAGACCGATACGAATATGTTGCAATGAAGGTAATTATTTTTCCATTTTGATATTAAAGGTCCATATTCTCTGGGCATATGTAACATCTAATATAACTGTTTGTTTCGTATATTTGTGTCCAAATTATGAAAGCAACTTGTTGTATTAGATGAATATATAACTTGGAAAATTAAACACAATGTTGCGAATGAAGATAAAAGTATACGTGACCCAACTAATTTTTTTCATCTACAACGACATTGATGACAAGTGTAACGTCAACATTTTTAATCTGTTCTTGGAAATTAAAAGGTGATCGTGCTGTTAACGTCCGATACAAGCGAATTAAAGGAGCCCGAGAAGGTCAGAGCGTCTCAGGAAAAGGCCCTTCAAGCGCTGCAGCAATATACAATCGCGATGTATCCAGAAATGCCTGCCAAATTCGGTGAACTATTGCTGAGAATTCCAGATCTGCAAAGGACGTGTCAAGCAGGAAAAGAGTTGCTCAGTGCAAAACGCGCCGAGGGAGAAGGCAGCTCGTTTAACCTCTTAATGGAATTGTTGAGAGGAGACCACTGAATTGTCAGCACAGTGAACTATGCCGTAAGTTTCGTAATAGATGAAATCAAATCTACAGTTGCGGCGAGAAGACGAAATTGCTTTAAACAACCATTGCCCTGACTGTTGCAGAATTATAATTCGATCTCTGTTATCTTTTCAGATTCCACGCTTATAGGGTCCATAAGCTTAGGGAATCGGATATAATAAATAATCGCAGAGTAAGAAAGATTAGAGAAAAAGAGAGGAAACGGCAGATGTAAGGTCTATAGCGACATTAGTACTTGGTGAGGGGATTGCATTCTTCGTAATTAGGACGCGTTAACCTAACGAAAGATGAAAAGAATTTTTCTACTTTAAACCGGAATGCTTCCATACAGGTTGTGCATGTTCGCATTCCTGTTTTTGCAACAAACGAATTTCGAAGCGGCCTACGGTGTATGCCGGTTCCGTATGTGCCGCATACAGGTAGATGCTAATGAGACTGAAAGTTTAATTGACGGTGACACGCAGAGCATTTACTTTTACAATGAGATAAGCGTTGTATAAATACGGAGATGGTATCAAATAGCATTAAAGTGCTAAAATTCTATTAAATTGATGTAATCTATTCGAGCACGAGCTTTATAGTGGCGGACACGGATCTATAAACAAAGTTGACCTTTAATTAACGATTATAATAGAACAACCAGTATTGCGTATCGTTCTGCGCTTACTTAAGAACAGAGCATAGCCATGCCTTATCTATCCCGGTTATGAAAGTGTACTTAAAACTTAATACATCAGTCGACCAATTGTCTACTTATAGAGCAGTTAATCATGGAATAATTAGTTGATATGCTTAATTAGTATATATCGTCCACAGAATACGTGGTTTTTATCGATCACACAAAATACATTTTTTATTCTCTTTATATGCGTTAACAGCCTTGCCGACAAAGAGAACAGCTAAATTTTTAGTTGGCATAAGTATCACAGAAATTTCGAGCAATACATATAGCTGCTATCTTTTTTGTAAATATATTTTCTTCTTCTTTTTTAAAGGAATTGACTACTTTTCCGTTCTATTTGTAGAAAGGATTTTACTTTTATTAAGTATTATCAATAAAAATACAAGGGCACATTAGATTATATGTTATATAACATTAGATTATATGTTATATAAATATAAATGTTTATATATTATATATATTTATATTATATATTGTTTTTGCATAATCGTAATATGATTCCAAGAATTTATTCGATTTGCGTTTCTTTCAATATCAGTGGCAAACTTATATTAAAACTCCCGTTTTTTTTCCATTGCAGTCATATGAAATTACGACATCGAAGCGCGAGGCGAACTTTTTTCTTGCAATATGACATCGAATAATCAAAAAAACAGAGAACTTTCTGTATAGACAACTAATAAGAACATTCTTAAAAGTCGCCAGCAGTAATTAACCACAACAGTGATTTTTACTGACTGTATCTGGCAGTTTTAATAATACAGAAAATTTATTGCAAAACATAAAATCAGCCAGGGTTTAAACCTGGACTTCCCTACACGCTAGGCGGGCGTCACAATCAATTCGACCACCGAGGCACATGATAATATTAGTCGCAATAATTTTCTGTATAGATTTGAAGTGATGTCTGATAAAAAACAAAAGATTATTTACGTAATGCAAGAGAAAATTCACTCTGTTTTATTTTCGATATCGTAATGCAACAGAGCTGTGGTAAGAAAACGGTTGCTTTAAAAAGTATCAAGCTTTGTGCTAGTATCAGCGAAAGATGCTTAATAATACTGTAAAAACTTGTAAATTTACAAATTTATTAAAATTACTATATGTGCTAATCAACGCAATTATTATTATTTTTGTTGTAACATTCTCAAATACGTGATGCAGGCTATCAATCAATACTTATATTTGAGACTAAATACGATTTGAAATTTATATATACACTGGTTGTATACATTGACAAATAAAAGAATGGGCGGTTAGATATTATAAATTCTTGTCTCTTTGCTGAATCTATATTTAGAATATAGTGCCGAAATTACTTGTTTAATAACTCTTTTTGAGCATGGGACATAAAATGTCTCCTAGAACGGGAAAATATTAAGAATGTCGTGCATTGACGGATCAGCATGATTCTTTTACTAAGTCAAGGAACGAGAACATTTATTTTTGAAAGAAATGCATTATAAATGCCGCTTGAAAGATGCAGCTATAAGCTTGCGTGCAAAACAAACGAATTGATCTCTGTCGTTAGTACTTTATTGAGACTGTCGTATAGCGCATTGTTCTTTGTACAATCGATTAGACTTTTTTTATTTGTTGTCTGTGGAAAAGCATGCGAAGGAGATCCCAGGACACTTAGAAAAAAATATTACCGGTTCGCGCAATACTTAATATAAACATAATTTGTAAGAACTGTCTTCCCACACATTTCTATCGATTCTAATAGAAAGTAACTTATCATCCTCTCAATGTATATGCGCACACATATCATTCGCGTGATTACTGAATAATTTCCTTCTTCTAAGTTCATTGTAAACATCAGCAACATTAAAGTCCTTGATAATAATCCGTACATCCCATCATGCAGAATAATAGCGATAGTGTGTCAGAAAATGTTAGCCAGTATTTTGGACGATTCTTTGAACGATTTTGAACGGATACTGAATTTGTATTAAAGCACTTGAAATCTGATGCTTGATTCGATTATACTTGAAACAAAATGCAACGAAAGTAACGCTGTAAATATAAAGAGAAAGAATCATATTTTGTTGTGACGAGTGTGCGTATGCGTGTATGCGTGAGTGCGGAACGCGTGAAGAAAGAGAGCGGCGGCAGGGAGGGTAAAGCGAGCGAGAGAGAAAGAGGAGGAACGGGGAGGAGCGTGCGAGCGTACGATAGTATACTTGTGTAATAAAGCATATAAAAGTCGACTTAAGCGAAGTAATATGAAAGTAGAATTACAAGAAGATAAATATTTGCCTGTTAAAAAGTGACTATTCTATGTTTATGTTTGATAAAAGCTATTTCTACATACACTTGAATGAGATACTTCTGCTGTAGCTCAGTGATAATTGTCTTTATTTGTGCGTGGGTGTGCGTGCGTGTGTGTGTGTGTGCGTGCGTGTATGCGTGCGTGCGTGCGTGTGTGCGTGTGTGTGCGACACGCGACGAAGGAACTTGCTTAATTTTTCGTGCGCGAGAGAAGAACTAGCTGTAGGAGAGACACTCTTAACCGACGCAATTCAGTTCTCGTACTGTTTTTTCCAAATTGTCAAAAGCAGGGAGCTACTCGATGGATATACAGTCTTCCGTTTCCAGTAGTACGACGCGACGAGCGCGAGTCACGTGTGCTCGCGTGCGCCACAAACAGGCACATTGGAAAGATTTGACCAAAAAGAAAAGAAAAAAAAAAGAAAACGAGTCTTTTGCCAATCATGACAATATATCGGAGGAAGCTGGGTAGAATCGGACTGTACGTTATTGTACGAAGAGCTTAAATACGACAGACTGCACACAATTATATGGCAATTATATGGATATAAATGTATATTTATATTTACATACGCATATTGTATAAATTACACGAATATAAATATATATTTATATTTGGGTTTATATATTTATATACATTATATAAATATATAAATATAAATATATATATACGCGAATAAATATATACATACAGTTGTGTGTAAGGGAGAACGAACTTTGTAAGTATAACGAGGGTAACACCGGACGTAAGGGCCAAACAGCAGTGTAATATTAAATAAACGGATCGTATCCCAGGGATAATATCGTGGATACTCGCGTAGCACATTTCTCGCCGGTATATACAAGACGTATATCGACGAAGAAAGTCAACGGGGGGGGGGAGGGGGAGAAATTTTTATAGAGAGGAGAGAGAGACACCGGCGGAGCTTTTACCCACCCACCATCAACTAGCTCAGCAGTCCCGAAAATTGCATATTTTTTACCTCGATATTGTAAAAACCTCGCGTGGCCGAGCGTTTGCACGTAAATATTATCGCACGCCAGACGATGATCTCAATTGCGCGAAGCACGTTCGGCGAGATTTGACGATTTTAGATGCTACTGACCTAGTTGAGATACCGCGCGTGAGGGAGGAAGGAGGGGGGGGGGAGGGAAAGACAGGAAGCGCCTGATGTACGTGTTACTGCTGAGAGAACACTTCGTTCCCGACTTAGGAGAGAGAATAGCTATTCACGCAGAGACACACAATTAGAGAGTAGTTTTATACATATGACACGAATTATCAGTACGAAATAAAAGGAAAACTTTTTATAAAATGACACATTTCATGCTTATTCGCGCGGACGTCGAGAGTATCTCGCTTCTTCGTGAGTTACGCTCGGGCATTGCGAATCGAGGGCGTCGGAGTGCGCTTGTTCTCGTTCTATCTCATTTTCCTCTGTCGCTCGAGCGCAAAGAGAGCACTTCGACGCCTCACGGGTTCGCAGTGCCGAATACGCAGCTGTACCGGGGGTCAATTCTGTATCCTGCACCGTCGTGAAAACGCTAAAAGTGAACAGCTTTGTCTCTTTCTAACCGTCCCCTTAAAAAGGGACAGAGCCGCTCACTTGTAGCATCTTCACTGTATTGTAAGATACCGAATTCTGACTCTCGCCTGGTGTGTGTGGCTTTCCTTCATTTTTAATCTTTAATCCCTTCATTTCTGAATCTCATATGAATCCCCAGGGAGAAATGGATTCGTCGAGCGGTGTCGAAACAGTGTCGATATCAACACCGTCAAATTGATCGACGTCAATGGCTGCATTCAGCAGAAAAAGCTGCTCCGCAACTGTTGTTCAAAATTCGTGAATCTGACTGGCATATTCTTTTAATGTCGAGTGAATTTAAGGAGCATACGCCAATCAGATTCGCGAATTTTGCGAACAGTTGCAAAGCAGCTTCTTCCTGCTGAACGTAGCCGTTGTTTCGGCATCGATCGACGAGTCATTTCTCGCCGAGTTATCGCGCTCCTCGCGTTGAGCCGGATATAAAATTGTATGTGAAAATGTTGCCTTCGGCGAAGTTAACATTCGCGCGACTATCAACAGTACGGTTTGCACGCATTCCCGATGAACCTGCGCTAACGCGCCTTCGTAGCGCATCGATATGAAAATGGCGGCCAATAATACGCGAGGAAGATTCTGGAATTGCGGCCAAGCCGCCGGCTACAAGTGGTCCGAAGTGTTTCTCTTCTCCTTCTATCATTTCTGAAAGACAGGAGAAGAATACTTGGAAACTTTTGAAGCGACAGCTCGACCGCAGTTTCGACCGTGTCGATACCCAACGGGAAATCG